TCTATATACATGCATGCATGCATGCACGCGCGCGCGCACACACACACACACACACACACACACACACTGTTATTTAAATCCAAAGAATACAACCTCCTGTACCTCATTATCTTCATTTGGATAGCTGGCCATCTTCTTAACATTGGGATACAAGATGAGATGAACAAAAAGAATTGTCATCTTTTGTGCAGCCTACAATCCTTTTGCATTTGCCAAATTTTAGGTGACTAGCCTTTAGGATTTCCAAACCAGTAGTGTAATGGTGGCATTTGTAATTTATAAGGGCAGAAAAATATCAAACAGGATGTAAGATTCAGAAATTGTAATTAAACAAAACTGAGAGTAGAGGGTTTTTCTTGTAGGGTAAATTTTATATGTTGCTTCTGTGGGAATTGTAGGCATTGCCCTACAGATGTTGCTAGTATCACAGCAGACTGTTGCATCATTCAGTCATAATAGGATTATTTACTTTCACTTCAGGCAACCTATATCTGATTTTTTTCCCCCTATCTCAAAAGCTCAGAAATCATGAAGCCCATTAGAACAATTTCTTCCTGCCTTCATAAAATTCATGGGAAGCCAACTGATTTTAAAAAGATGTCTAACGTGGCTATGCAAAATGCTTGGCATGAGCTGTAGGCAATTTGTTTTTCAGTATAACAAGTAGCCTGTCCTGTAGGGAATTTGATTTTCAGTATAACAGGTAGCCTGTTAGCCACCATGCTTTTAGAATTACGGTGGATGTTTGACAGGATTAAGAAAATGCTCCAGGGCAGGCTTAGATATAAAGATATATGCAGAATATGCACATCTGGGGTTAAAAATACAAGTGGGTAACAGAGTCCAGGAACACCCACAAATCTCACCCCAGTATTCAGCAAATGGGTATCACTGGACATCTTTATGCACGGAGAGCAAGATTTCCTATTATGGGAAAGCTTAATGCCTTGTATTTAAGCCTTTTAGATCTCAGGTTTTAAATGCAGCCAGATTTTAAATGTGCTTTACCTTGTCCCTTCGACCATAAGAATGTAGTGCTTTTAAGGACCATTAATCTAGAAATTTCCAAAAGGAAAAAAATAACAAAAGTCTAGCAAATATATTGTGGTTGAAGTTTTTGTGGACTGGGCTCTGGACAAAAATGTAATAAATGAGTTAGTATTTGTTAGTATTTGAAGTACCATAATACTCTTTGGTATTTAATGTTGATGACTAAAGCTTTTTTATACTGCTTTAGTTTATATTATAAAAGAATTATTTATCCAACTTCTCCATTTGTTAGAGAAAATGTAATCCTGAATTTCAAGTAGCATGTAAACATTTAGTTCTGGTTTAGACTCTATCACTGTAACAGGATGCATTTATATGAGAAATATTTGGATTAAAACAAATACCAGATATATTCCATGTCTCACTCTCTTACATTGCATTGTGCAGTAACAATGCTTCACCCTACAACTGAAATAATTCATTTGTAATAATGAAGCATCTAAAAGAGTGAGTGATACACATAGTATGTACATGAGGTGCTACTGTTATTAGTTAAATTTCTATTCCAGCTTCCATTAAAAATGCTAAGATAATACAACTTTCTTACTATAACTTATTTTCCCTTTTATGTTAGCTATAATGGAATTGCCTTTTTAAAAACTCTTAAGATTACTTCTACTTTTGCTAGGAAATAAGCGATTTTTCGTGGTATGATTTAGATTTTTAAAAATTTTTGTGCTGAAACTATGTTGGTCCATTCTTTAAACCATATATATTCCTAATCAGAAGGGTTCCTAATCAGAAGAGCCTTTTAAATGTTTTACTGCTAGCAAATTGCCTGCCCATGATTTCTTGACATGTGATATTTGGCTGTACCATGCAGAAGAAAAATATGTGCTTCTATAAAAACAGACAAAACATCTTTGTAAGTCCAAATTGCAATAAATGCATCACCATAATTTAATTAATACTTGTACTTGTACTTGACGCCTCTTCACCCATTGTGGGTATAGGCGACTTCCATGGAAATTTGACGCCACTGTTTTCGGTCCTGTGAATGTTTGCACATTGAGGCAACCGATATTGTTTAGCCCTAAAAAGGGCTGATTGGAATGGATACGGCGATCCATGGAAGCTGTTTAGGCTGGATATACCCAAGGGGGCGCCAGTCCCAAGGGTCGACAGAGCCTGATTGGTGGGAACAGGGGGCGCCACGTGAAGGCCGGGTTGTCGTTTGATAGCTGAGAGGCTTTGCAATAAGCGTATTTTGCGCATCAGCTATCCTTGCCCGCCCTTAATTTAATTAATATAGATAATTTATTATTAAAAAGATAATAGTACAGTGTATCCTTTTCCATTTTCTCACTGTAAGAATAACTAGATCAGTGCTGCATTGAGGGGATAAAAACTGGGTTTGCAGTTTTTGGTAACTAATGGTTTATTTAACCTCAGTTTATTAAACAACCCAGAAACATCTAGGTCCCACAACACCCTAACCCTATAAATCATATTTTACAGCTCACCCTCAGTGCAGACAACACTTTATATAGGAAAGAGTTCATCCTCATTTCAAGATGCAGGCTTCTGTATTTCAAAGTGAGTCAAGGTCATGGTTGTCCCAAGGGTGCTTTTCCAAAGGCAATTAGGAATTCTTGGAGGTTTTTTTCCTTGAAAATGTTTTGCTTCTCATCCAAGAAGCTTCTTGAGTTCTGAAGAACTGAATTGAGAACTGAAGAAGCTTCTTGGATAAGAAGCGAAACATTTTCAAGGAACAAACCAACAAAGTCCAGTTGCTTTTTGCACAGCACATTTGATTCAAAATGAGTGTTTATCCCTGAGAAAGCCCCTCTATGACATTTTTTCTTTGACTTCTTGGGAAAGGATTCTAATAGAGTAGGGAGGTAGACCCTACTAGGGTAGATAATGCTGAAGGTAAGATGGAGCTAACCCATCAGTTTGATGACTAGGACTGAAAGTAAAGTCCCTGTGAAAGTTTGTAAGTTTGTGGTAAATATGGATAGACTTTGGTGTCCTCTGTCCTATTATACCACTCTATTCATTGCAATTAAAATAGCTATTTCTTCTCCATTACCACTTATTTAGCACAGTCAATATACTTAATGCAACATGGATAATTTTGCTTTATTCTGATAAAGATTTTATTTCATACAGGTTTTCCTTCTAATCCTTTTAGAGTCTTTTATGGACATCTTGGTATATTGAGTACAAAGATATTTAAGATTGCATTTCTGTTGGATATTTGATTTATATTTTTATATTAAACTAAATGATGTTGCTCTGTAAGATTTATATTTTATTTCTAGGTTGTAGGGCTCTACCGTTTATGTGGGTCGGCAGCTGTGAAGAAAGAACTCCGAGAGGCATTTGAGAAGGATAGCAAAGCAGTTACTCTATGTGAAACTCAGTACCCAGATATAAATGTGATAACAGGTAACAAATTTGCTTTTTATAGAAGGATAAATAAATGCTCAGAATGCCATTGGGGTTTTATTGTGCAGTGTATCATGTAAGTTAATATTAAAGGACGTTTTTAACAAAGAATGTCCTAAAATCAAGACTTTTGAACTAATATCTGCCCACTGTGGAAATGTTGGAAATGTTTATTCCATTTGTATGCCACCCTACTCCCGAGGGACTCAGGGTGGCTAACAAACAAAGGTGGAAGGGAATACAAACAACAAAACAAAAAGACAAACAAGTTAAAAACAAAGCAACAGTCGCAACAATTCAAGTGGGGCTGGNGCCCCCTAGAGTTGGGAACGACTAGCACATGTGTGAGGAGAACCTTTACTATATTTTCATTTTAAGACTTATTACTCAAGCTTGAACTTACACGCTGTATCCAACACAATTTTTTAAATTGTGGCTTTGGGGAAAGATTTTGAGGGATCTAAAATCAATCATATGCCTAAATATTATTCCTGTAAGTTATATTAAACCTGAAGGACTGGATATGTCTGTGAGGTTCTGGCTTCAAGTATGAAAGTTCATGGACTTTACATTTTATCTTACAATATTAAGAGAAGATGTTCATGGAAAAATATCAGGATAACTTACATGATTTTCTACAGGCTATCCCCATTTTTTAAATAAATCAGAAGGAAAATTGCTTAATATAGTCTAGTACATCACGATTGCGTAAAACACTAAACCACACCATCAATTTTAGCTGACTTCTGAATGTTTCATATAATCTTGAACATACATCTCTGCAGATGTTTCAACAAAGATGCTTTGGAATGCATATATACAGCTATGACTTTTTCCAGGTTTATATGATTGTTTTGGAAATTGTTCCAGACAACTTCATATATGTGAATGAATTGTCCCTTCATTTTTTCCCTTAGCAAAGTATCTGTCTATGCACTTGTATGCACAGACAGCCAGGGTGGTTTCCGTGAATGGGAAAAAGATGTGGGACCTTGAATGAATCCAGAAGAGAAGAATCCTTCTCATTCTAATGTACCTCTTTCAGTAAATTATTTAAATCAATTATAACTTTGGTAAGATTGAACCAGTTTTGGAGAGCATTATATTTCTGTTTTCTCTTATTCATTCTAAATGTTTATGTCCTCTCTTTGTAGTCACAAAGCAATCTGTGAGTTTTATCTTTACATGTCTCCTCTTATAGAAAGACAAAATCAATCCTCAAATTATGTTTTTATATCCATTGGTCTGGAGAGAAATGTCTTAATTAGTCTTTGAATTTGTTAGAGGAGATACTACGGTATAACTTTAGTTATACTTTGGAACAACAGAGGTTATAATGTAATAACTCAATGTTATTTGCCAAAATATATATTTCTTCATAAGCTGCAAACAAGTATGTNTTTTACCCACCTCGGAAGGATGGAAGGCTGAGTCAACCCTGAGCCGGTGAGATTTGAACAGCCGAACTGCTGAACTGCAGTCAGCTGAAGTAGCTGAAGTAGCCTGCAGTACAGCACTCTAACCACTGCGCCACCTCGGCTCTGAATATCATGTTCACCTGAAATAATTATTTGTACATATAATATATGCATTTCCTAATAATGTGTGTGCATCAGAGTACATTTTTATAAGATTTCGCCATATCTCAGGCCTGTGGGAAATCTTAATGTTCTACTCTGTCAGAGTGGGCAGAAAGCATATCTGAATCACAGCTGGTTTCTTCCACTTCATATTAACTCCTGGCTGCATTTGTTTTTATTTAAATCACAATGTATTAAGGTGGCAAATTATTGTTTAGCATGCTAAGATTATAAAAACCATTAAACTGTAACTATTCTATAGAGAGGAAAAGAAATTTATTTGGCACCATTACTGTGAAGTGGTACATTGAGAATCAATAACTGCTACAAAAATGTAGATTTTTTTCTTCTTCTGAGGAAAGATACAGTAAATTGCATTTGTAAAATAGGCAGTCCTCGCTTACCAATGCTAATTGAGATCAGAAATCTCAATTCCATTGCTAAATGATGTAGCACAAGTTGCAATGTGAAGTGACTTCATTGACTTACAGCAGAAGTGTCAAACTCACCTTGTCATGTCGTCACGTGACTTATTGTGACTTTTTCCCCCTTTGCTAAACTGGGGGTGGGCATGGCCAGTGCGTGATGCATTCAGGCTATGGGCCACTAGTTTGACACCCCTGACTCACAGGAACAATTCCAGCAGTCTCCTTTGCTTTTTATGAATCCTGCAGGTCACAGCCTCCCATGGTTATGTGATCACTATATGTGACTAGTTAAATTCCACATTAATTTACTTGTCAGAAGCCAGCAATGGAAATTGAAAATTGCAATCTTGTTCCCAAGGGAGGGTGTGGTGCCATAATTGCAAACTAATTGCCTGAATCGTGCTGATGTGATGGTGGGGATGCTGCGACAATCACAACTAAAAGGATATGTAGGTCCCTTTTGTTCAATCATAACTTTAAATAGTTTCTAATTAATTGTACACGAAGCAAGTTGTACATGTGTACATTTGTTGTACAGGTAACTTGGAGTATTGACAGCTTCCCTCCAAAATTAAGCTGGATTTCATTTTACCTACACTTATTTTTTCAAAATCCATTTACTATGATTGGTCTGTAATCGTTTATGGGGTCTGTAATGCAAATTTTGCAAATAGAAAATATTTTGGGATTTACTCCAAATGGAGCTTCAAGCTGCTGAATAGTTCCCTTATGCTAAAAGAAAGTATGAGGAAAAGATTTAGAGTACATATTTTATCTCATTAAATANTCCAGCTGCTCCTGGAGGATCGCGCAGGCGCTGTATGCGTCCTGCGCATGCGTGGAAGCGCAGAACTCATCAAAACTGGGTAAGGAGTGCGGGCGGGCGGGCCCTTCGCCGTTCCCGGAAGTTACTTACTTCCGGGTTCGCCGATCAACCGGTTCGCGGGGACCGCCGCGAACCGGTTGAAACCCACCCCTGCTCATGTTCTTAGAATACATCTCCAACTTGGGCGAGTAAGGAGAAAAATATCTCTGCTGATCTAATTAAAATGAGCACTGTTGGAGAATGGACATGCCAGTATTTACATTTGTAAAGGTTAGGGTAGTATAATACTAGATTTTTGTTTTGTCTGCTAACCTAAGAGAGTTTTGAATCAGATTGAGCAGTGGCGTCTAAATATTGAGGAATGTCTTTCAAAGGGCACTTTATTGAAAGAGAAGCACCTTGTTAAGAGATTTGCATATCTCTAATAAAGTAATAGGCATTGTTCTAGTAATTTGCCAATCTTCAGAATTCCTCTTCGGTGAAAAACCACTTAACATTTTCCTTTTAAAGTCAAATACTTTTTCAAGTCTGTGTCTCAAAGGTTACTTTTCTTCCTCTTCCTCTTTTGGAGATCTATTCTGTTGCTAAGGAAATGCACATTTAATTATTAAACTTTGCCTCGGAAATATTTCTGTGGCTGGCACTGGCTTACAGTGAAAATGCACATGTCATTCAGAATAATGTGCCTTAGCAAATTTAGCAGCTGGCTGATTTCTGATATTTCTGCATCGTGTCTGCTTCCAGCCATGTGAACTCTCTCGTAGTAAAGTATACCGTATAGTTGACAGTTCAGTGGGTTAGAAAAATGAGAAATTAATTAGGTGGATTGGAGAAGTATGCGTTTTCTCTCATTATTGCCTATATTCTGTGCCAGCGATGGTTGGAACAAGAAAAATAAAGCTGTCAGGATATGCCAGTCCATAAAAAATAGCTGCCCTCTTTTAAAGGGTCTCTAAAAGGAGAACAGTGTAGGGTCAGAAGGCTGACAATTTGTTTCATAGAGGAATGAAGTGAGAAAAGGTGTTTTGAAAAGGAAAGACCAGGTGACTTGATTGCAGAGCTCAGTGTGGCTCCTGTGAAAAAACATTCCAGAAGTGCCTTCTTATTGAGTACTTTTAAAAATGCATAGCAGACTCATTTCCTCTTACTTAGATATTTTGTGCTGTCTCGGAGCAGCTCCTTTGCTCGGAAGATAGCAAAACTCGTTCGTGATTAGTTCCCCTACTCCTATGCTTCAAAATATTGAAAGCCCAGAAGTGTTATTTACAAGTATTTGATCCTGCTGTTGATTTAAGCCTTTCCTAAATTGGGATCGTCTGAACCAGAGGTGTCCAATCTTGGCAACCTTAAAACTTGTGAACTTCAACTCCCAGAATTCCCCAGCCAGCATTCTGCAAATATAAGTCCTCAGGTCTTAAAAGTTGCCAAGATCGGACACCTCTGAACTAAATGTTTGGGTTTTAGTACATCTGGAGATTGTCGAGGGAAAGGCTGGTTTAGATTGCCGATTTGTGGACAATCTTTCCTTGAAATACTTAGACAAAAAAGCAGTGTTTTTAACATGCAAGATTCTGAGGGTGACACTGAAATTTTGTAGCCCCAGTAACTTTCTGAATCCCCCTCTCTATGAAGAGTAGAAATGGAGCCCCTTGCTTTAATCTTAAAAAGTCTGTTCTTTAACAGAGTCTTCAGTTAACACAATTCACATTACAGTTGGGTCATAGGGTAAGATTTGTGGTAGGCACACTGAGTCTTGCAACAAGTCTTGCTTTGTTAAGAAAAATTCAACAGTGGTATTTCTGTCATGGTTTGGGGATTAACAAGGCCTTTATTTGCCAGATACTTAAATTGGTATCTCAGCTTCCTACTTTCAGCTCTTTGTTTTCATTCTGTATTAAACAGTACAATTTATTAAGGCTCAGCTTAGGTTCGGCGGCTTGCATGAGCGAAATGGGAGCAAAGCAATTAAAATCTGAGTTTAGATTTTAATAGTTCAGGAAAACAAAAATATCCGTGTCTTGACATTTTATAGCCCAAAATGTAGCATGGGATTGTAGAGATTCCTGAAATAAACAGGATGTTGTAGTTTAAACTGCACAAAGATTGTGTTGCTTTGCCTATGATGGTGGTGGGCAACTTTGGAGAGGTTGAGGAGGTGCAAAATCAGCGACTCAGCCTTTCAAGTAAACATGCGATGCCTTCTAGTAATAGGGAAGAAGCAGTCAATTAATTCAATTTATTTTGATCAAAATCAGATTTTAAAAAAAGGTAAAGGGACACATAACAATGTAAAAAGTAGCTTGAAGAGACCTCCAGAAATATATTGCTCATAGGACCTGAAGTCATTTACCTAGTGATATTATTGGCTACCTTTTAAAACATCAGTTTGTAGTAAAAGTGTTATTATCTGATTAAAATAAAGGAATATAACATTTGCAGTTTGATATCTGAGAAGAAATAAGACTGCTTCCACTACTGTGTTTCCCCAAAAATGAGACAGGGTCTTATTTCCTTTTGACCCCCGAAATAAGCACTTGGCCTTATTTTTGGGGAGGTCTTATTATTTTTGAGGTCCAGGTGAGGCAAGCATGGTCACCTCATGGATGCTGCTGTGTTGCAATATTTTCAGGGGGGGGCTTATTTTAGTGCATGCGCTCAAAAGCCCGATTGGGCTTATTATCCAGGGAGGTCTTTTTTTCTGGAGAACAGGGTATCAGAGTAAAAGGGAAGGTTGGGTTCAGCAGGATCAATATTAATCTCTGTTCCCATCCTTACTCAGATTTTTCTGAATTAAAAGGTTGTGATTCAATTCAGTTTTGAATTCTCCCCTAATTTAATCTCTTTTTAAAAAAAACAAAAAACAGACAATAGACAAAGAGGTAGACCGTTTTTAAAAATCTGACTTGGTTTGTTGTGTTTCCATCAAGAACAGTTTTTTAAGGGAACAAGCAAACTAATATAATTTTTTCACTTGATAAGATCTATTCCAGGGTCCCCGATCTGTGGACCATGGACCAATACCAGGCCATGGCCTATTAGCAACCGGGCTGCATGATGATGGACCAGTGTGCACATGCATGCATGCTCACAGCCCAACTCATGCAAGCAGCTGGCTAGCCATTCACAGCCGCCCCACTTGCACAAATGGCGGGCATGTGCATAAACTCACACAAAGGAAGCCATGTCCGCACATGCATGCACCTTCCCCTCACACAAAACTATCCCCTCTTCCCCCCTTTGCGCTGGGCCACCATCCTGGAAAGCTCTATTATGCTTCTTTTAGCTTTTGGAGGAGGGAACCAGTTGTGGTGTTTATGTCTGTCGGTGTGTATTTACTCAATTTGTACAGCCACCTACCTCAAATATGTAATTCAAGCAGCTAGCAATGTTTAACAACAAAATAAAAATGTTATAATAAATCAATATATAACATAAGCTGCTGCTGAGATTTAAAAAAATACCAGCCAATCATAATTAACATAACCAGGATGTGGGCTCAACTGTGCCTCCTTTTACTTTCACCTATTTTGCTGTTTTACTTTTAACAAGTCTACTGCTTGCTTGGGTTTGAATGTCTCGGTATAACATTTATTTATTAATCCAATTTATATAGCTGCCCATCTCAGAAACATGTGACTTTGAGGAGCATACAACAAAAATAAAACAAATACTTAAAATAATTATCATAAATATATGCCCACCTTCAATTAAGGGCTACACATGGCATTTGAGCGTCCTCCTTCACAGAAAACTTAATTTAATGGAAATTAAATTAAGTAAATCCAACACACATGACTTATTCCCCATATAGTTAACAATGCCAAACTTCTGTTAAATTAAAATTGATAATCTATTGCAACTGTTGGGGATCATGTGCATGATAGCAAAGCAAAAGCAGATTTACATACCACTTCTTAGTGCTTTACAGCACTCTCTAAGCGGTTTACAGTGTCAACATATTGCCCCCAACAATCTCAGTCCTCATTTTACCAACCTCGGAAGGATGGAAGGCTGAGTCAACCTTGAACCGCTCAGAATCGAACTCTTGGAGTGAGGAATGAGCTAGACTGCAGGACTGCATTCTAACCACTGCGCCATTACAGCTCTTGAAGTCTGAGAGGGACTGCATTTGATTCAAGAACTATACCTTAGAGCGGCTTGCACAATTTGTAGAGAAGACAGGGTCAGGCTGATAAATTAAAAAGGAAGGTGGGCTACAAACGAATAGCTTGGGTATTTTCAATGCTGAATGCATTGAGTTTTTTTTTAAAATGCCACTGGGCTGCATATGGCAGGAACTAGAGTGGATGAGGTATGTGTGAACAGAAGGAAGTTAAGACATTGCAACAGAGAGGGCCAGCATCTTTGTCCTGAATGTCCAGTTCCGAATTTTTGTTTTAAATGACATGAGACACAGTGGAATTAACATATGTAAATAAGAATCAATAAAACATTTGCAACAGTTCTGAGCCGGGGACAGAACAACCTACATTCTCTTGTGGTTGTGACTACTTAGAACATTCTGATAAAATGTTAAGTGTATTAAAATTTAGAAGTGATGTAATGCTATGATTGCTATTCCCAGTAAAGTTTTATATTAATTTTGGCATTTCCTTTAAGGAGCACACAACATAGATAGAATAAAAGAAACAAGAACTAACATTCAGCGCTATAAATGATTTTCAGATTTGACACACACGCACACATATTGTGCATGTGTGTCTCCAAGCTACCCAATTTTGAGATAATTTCTGCATGAGCACTATTGATTGTCCTGCTGAAATGTGACTCACTGATGAATTCATTACACTTTGTTTTCCCTGCATGTCTTGTTTAGGTATCCTCAAAGATTATTTAAGGGAGTTGCCTTCTCCATTGATAACTAAACAACTTTATGAAGCAGTATTGGATGCCATGGTAAAAAGACCTTTGAAAATGACAGCAAATGGATGTGAAAATGATTGTAATGATTCAGAATATACAATGGCTCTCTTGGATTGCCTGCCAGAAGTGGAGAAAGTAAGTATTTGTTAACCCAATGAACTACTGCATGGCTTAAGGCAGTGGTCCCCAGCCTTTGTGGCTTGGTAGCCTAGCTGTGGGGGAGAAGGGAATTGGTTCTCGCCAGCAGTGGGCCAGCACCCATGCATTCTAATGCCGCTTGCAACAGTTGAGCTGCACCCATGCATGCTCTGGCTAGCTGCTTGTGGGGCCCAGTTCCAAATAGGCTAGTGATCCCCAACCTTTGCGGCTTGGCCTGGCTGGGAGGAGGAGAGGAGAACTGGACCATTGCGCTGGAGTGGCCCAGTTGCCAATAGGTCACCGCCCAGTAGTGAGCTGCAGCCCAGAGGTTTGGGAATCCTAGCTTAAGGAGTACTGGTCATCCTCGACTTCCAACCATTTTCATTTGGTGACTGCTTGAAGTTACAAATTTACTGAAAAAAAGTGACTTACGATCAGTTTTCATGCTTATGAAAATCACCATTTGTAATCTTCCCAGCCAGCCTCCGAGAAGCAGTCAATGTGGAAAGCCATATTCGTTTAACAACCTCACAATTCACTTAACAACTGCAGTGATTCACTTAACAACTGTGCAAAAAAGTTCATAAAATGGGGCAAAACTCACTTAACAACTGTCTTGCTTAGCAATAGAAATGTTGAGTTCATTTGTGGTCGTAAGTCAAGGACTACCTGTATCACTTTCACTTTTTCCCTCCTTTTCCCCTCTTCAGAATAAAACTTTGGCTTGACTTCCAGTGACTTCAGCTAAGTTGGCTCAATGAATTGACTCACAAGATGTTAAAACCACATCAGGGATTCTCAGCATTTGTGATACCATGATCTCCTAAAATAAATATATTTGTGCATCTACCTCTGGATAATATAATGATTTCATTGATTAATTGGAGTTAACAGTTTGGCAAAAATATATCAGTTTTCCTTGAAATGATGAATGACATATAAAACCCTATTTTTCATAGGAAAGACGAATTTCATTTTGATTGCAAACTTGGACTTTATTTTTGAGAAAGCCGCTATGTTCTACATTTATTTTGGATTGATTTTTTTCTTTTTATAGCAGCAGTTGGAGAAAATGAGGACTCCTCTGTCAGCTTGTTGAGGGAGCCAATTCTGAGCTGGACTTGCATGCCTTTTTGCTGGAGATTGTCAGAATTTGCTTTGATGTTGCTTGTACAAAGCAGCTGTTGGTTTGTCCAGGCTGAATCACAAGAAGTGATCCTAGCTTTGCACATGAAAGCCATTAGAACATATTCAATCTGCTCTATGCCAACCGGGCAGGTTGGCTACCGGCTTGCCCAGGCAGAATAGGAGCAAGTTCTAGCAGTAACATTAGCTTTGCAAAGTCACATTTTAAGAAGATTTGCTGGAATTATTCTATAATCAAGCCAGTTTATATGTGTATGGCAGAATAGATGCAGCATGAAACTTGCATGCAGTTGCATTGAAAGAAAGGCTACTTAAGTATTCCTTTAAAAAAGATTCACCAGTCTGCCTAACCTTAATCCTTCCAAACCCTCAGTAAGTTGTTTAATTCCCTTCTCTCTAACAAGTAGGAGGAAGTGATGTGAACATGATTTGGGGGCTTTCCCTTGCTGCTATTGTCTGATGCCAGATAAAGGTAGACAGTTTGTATAACCATTTCTCGCCTTGAAATGTTTGCTGCTGCAACTTCCAGGAGAAAAAAAAGAGATAAGAGATCAACACCAAAACATTGCCTGAAGCTACTCAGGGTTGCTGTTGATAATAGCAGCTTGGCCCGCAATACACTAACACAGTTGTTCAATTATTGAGGCAAGTTGGATTTTGCTGGTAAATTAGAACAAGGGTTCCGAAATCTACCAAGATCAAGATGCCCGTGATATGGCATGAAAAGTAGCTCGCTTCATTTTATTTTAGTCTTTTGGAGACTGCGTGGCATTTTGTAGCCCAAATCAGAGAGCTTCAGGTGAAGCAAATTGTGAGCTGTCTGTCTGGGGGTTTGAGTTAAGTATGTATGGGTAGAAAAACAAGAAAGTAAAGTTCTGTTGGAGAGATGGAAAGAACAGTGGCCACCAAACAATACGAAGCGGTAGATTCCTCCCACTCCATTTTGGTAAGCCGTCTTATTTTGGAGGCACTTCATTCAACCTCTTTTGTTGATATTAGAAAAGTATAGATATGCTGGAATTGAGGGAAAGAGATATAATTAGGGTTCAGGACACCATACATTAAATAGGCATGGAGTTATTCCCCCTGATTATGAGAGCTTAATGTTTTAAATGCTTTGGAAGTTAGGCTGAGAATGGGAAGTACCCGCGAGCACCTAAACCAAGGGATACAATCACCTGGAGCCCTTTCCTCCTTAGCCTGATTGTGCAGGTGCCCCTGTTTGTGCAGCCGCTTTTAACTTTGGTGGTAAGCTTATCCAGTACCAGAAATCACAGCTTTTCTGTGTGTTTCCATTATCCTACATAGCAAAGAGAAGCGCATGAAAAGGAACATGTACCTTTAAGGACACCGCTCTGGCAAATCTCACCAGGAGTCCAAACTGGGGCAAACCTTATGGATTTGGATTGGAAAGCATTTATCCTGGACAGTGTGGGGAGGAGAGATTTGTTATACATGTGCAAAGCAACGAAATAATCAGATCAGTTTGGTGATAGCAATATGATCTAATGGTTTCTTTGAATCCGATCTCCAACTCACATTTTCTGCACACTGTCAAATAATATAGAAGGATTTCATTCAAAGTTTTTGGTAGAGACAAATGGTTTTCAAGCAAAGTTGAACACTGTGAATACAATGAATATTATTAACAATACACCTAGTCCTCAACCATTCATTTAGTGATTGTTCAAAGTTACAATCGGTGCTCATGCTTAACAACTGTCTTGCTTGCCAAGGGAAATTCTGGTTCCAATTGTCATAAATTAAGGACTGTCTGTAATGATTTTGATTTGGTAATAATAATTTATTAAATTTGTGTGCTGTCCAACTGCCAGCTACTCTGGACAATACACAAGGTTTTTCTCCTGGCAAGCTACTATTTTCGGGCACCTAAACCTGAAACATGCTCCTTAATTAATTTTATATGGTGTCATAAAATGCTGAACTACAATGTGGAAACTTATTCGTCTGTTGCAGAGAACCTAGTAAAGGAAACCAGTTGTAGCCTTTTATGGCCAGGCAGCTAGACAAAACATTTTTCTAAGCAGAGTTGCTTCCCTCAGATCTCACAAAAAGATGGTTTTATTTACCATCAGCATCTCTCCCCTCTTTTCACTATGCTTTATATTTAACCCTAGACATGTTACTTGATCATATATTTCCCTTTCTCAGTAATTTTGGTTATGATAGAGCACTTCATAAATTATTGCTTTCAGCTAATAGCACCCCCCCCCCCCAATGTTGGTTAAATTATCTTCTGTCTTTGCATTGGAATGCCAACATAGATTTTATATATGTTTTCACTAGTATGGTATCTTTTTTTTTTTAAAGAGATAATTTATTCACCTTGCAATCTGCAATAGCTGTTGCAAATAAAGAGTTATAGATCACAAAAAAGCCCAAAACAAAAGAATCCAATTAGGCTGAGAAAGACTTTTTTCTGAAACTTCAGATGGTCTAATCAGATAATAATTACGAGCTGGATTGTGTGGCGTTCCAATTTTGGTAATGTAGCTTCCTGTGTTCTTAATGAAGTGGTGGGAACATCTTACTATGTTTGTTGGTTTTGGCACAAGAAAAATTACAGTTTGCCTGTGACCTCAAAGAACAAAGAAATCAGGGGAAAGGACTCTTTTTTTGCAAGAGAGATGAGCCCCAACCAAATATTTCTAGCCATTTAATTCAGTACCAGTTATGGGGCAGTGTGCTATTTAGTTTTATTTAAATGCAGTGCTATTAAATTGGTTCATGGGACTAGGCTGATTGTTAAAGTCTTTCTCCAAGCTGAGGATTCATGTTTTGGGGTGGTTTACGTCCAGGTAAGTATGCAGAAAATTGCAGTTCACTGGCCTTTGCAAAATATTTCCTTAAGGGCATGTATAGAATATTGAGCAGCTGCAAAATCCTCAGATCTGTCTACTCTTCTGCTTCACAAAAAGGTATTTTTGAAATGTTATCTTAAGTGGACACTGCTAGTGGGCATGAATGACAGTGTTGTGATGGAATTAAAGGAACAGGGCCTTCAATAATATTGCCACGGCCTTTCTTCTTAATTGCATTTTCCCCCTGTGATTAATGAACTAATACCATTCTTTTTTTTCTTTAGGCTACTCTAAAGATGCTCTTGGACCATCTGAAACGGGTGGCTTCATACCATGAAGTAAACAGAATGACTTGCCAGAATTTAGCTGTGTGTTTTGGGCCTGTATTACTTAGTCAGTGGCAGGAAACTACCAGCCACAACAACAGAGTGTTCACTGATTCAGAAGAGCTGGCCAGTGCCTTGGATTTCAAAAAACATATAGAAGTTTTACATTATCTGCTCCAGTTGTGGCCAGGTAAAAAAAAATCTCACAATGGAGAACATTTAATTTTGTTCAAAGCAATGTATTAATCTGTTGCAGTAAAAGCAGTGGAATCCCTTGAACTAATCCCTTGCATTGTTCAAACTTTTATTGTAACATAAACTTAAGACAAATTTATTATGCCATATTATTTATACCTGTTATTATGGCATATCAATTACATTATAACTTTATGCTTTTGTAACCATTTTTTCACTTCATAGTTATATAAAGTAATATCTTGCTAATGTACTCTTTTTCTTTTGCATCTGTTCCAGGCTTATGTTTTTTTCCCTTAAGTTTCTTTAAAATAAAGATGAATGATATTTTATTTTTGCACCCATAGTAAGAAAATAAGATCCAGCCATCTTAAACAACTGGAACTGTTTGTTTATTACCAGTGCCCTGAAGCGTCCCCATTGACTTAACTCAAGGACTATACTCATGGCCATTGTCTCTTATGTCCAAAAAGCATCTCTTTTTCATGAGCTTTATTCGCCCCTCCCTTTTTTTGTTTTTACAATTGGGGTCTTCTGCCATTTCCTTCTTTCTCTGCGCTTATTATTGGATGACCTTGGTTCTATCTATAACTTCTCTCAGGCAGATATGTAGGGGTGTAACTTTCGGCCTTGGTTTAACTTCAGCAGCTAATTTTTCAGATAGTTATGAGTAGGTTACATGGAACAACTCTTAAGTGTTTTTGGAGCATTTGATCTCTGCTTTAGCAATAGCATCTTCTGGTGGTCAGATGTATAATGCCACTGTTGTAATGCCAGCTTTACTTTAGCGCTTAGCAGTAGCACTTAAGACTTATATACCGCTTCACAGTGCTTTACAGCCCTCTCTAAGCGATTTACAGAGTCAGCATATAGCTCCAAATAATCTGGGTCTTCATTTTATCCATTTTGGAATGATGGAAGGCTGAGTCAACCTTGAGCCAGTGACAATCAAACTGCTGGCTGCAGGCAGGCAGCAAAATTAATCTACAGTACTGCATTCTAACCACTGCGCCACCATGGTGTTTTTGAAGACTCATTNGAGCACCTGACATTTAATAACAAGTCTTTCTAACATTACAAAGTTGCACGGATGTCAGTAGAGAAAACATTATCAAGATTTTGGTAATAATTTGGCCATCATCTTGATGGATGACTAGCTTTGCAAGTTCTTTTTCTGTGGTAGTTTATATTTGATAAATGTCTATGATTCATTTGAACTGTATCTTTAAAACAGCTTGTTGTATTTCTGTCAGCACAGTTTATCATGTAGTATTTAATCATATCACCCTTGATTCTGTTACATGGACAGAATAAGTTTTGCCATTTTGCAACTGGACTATTATTATCTTCATGGATGAAATCTGATTGCATTGTGTCATTTTATGGCTCTTTTTTATGTTACAATATTTTACGTACACCTGATATCAATAATGACAACTTGGTAGCATCTAACATACTATTTTTCCCCTCTTCCATTTTATAGAGCTGATCGAAAATGTTTACATACCTTCTGTGAGCAGAAGAGAACTTAAGAACTTGAAATCCAGTGAAGTTTCTGAGTGCAGGCCTCAGATTGCTAGCATTACTGTGTCCAAGAAGCGGAACTGGTTGCATCAAAGTTCTCGGAGAGTACCTAGTTTGGAAAAAGGAAACTCTTACAAGAAATTTTCAGGAGAAAATTACCAGGTACTGAAATCTTCCAGTCCTTTCTTTGAGCCAAAAATGCCTCAGACTTTTTCCAAATTTCTAGGACAGGAAAGCCCTAGAGGAAGAGTCAGTTCTGCACATGCTGCTGAGAATGGAACAAGATCTTTGGCACTACAAAACTGTACTTTAGATTTTGGTGAAGATAATGATGCAGATGATGAAGGAGAAATATGGTACAATCCTATCCCTGAAGATGATGAGCCTGAGTTCCCTTGTTTTCTAAGTGGCCATAATAATCATTTGGACCCCCAGGCCTTGAATTTTAAAATAGCATCTGGGAATGATTTAATCAAAGTCATAGGGCATAATGAAGGCCTTCCTCAATTTTTAGACTGTTCTGGAAATGGTCAGCCTAGAGAAACAAGTCAAATAGATAATGTGCATTCAGTGGAATATTTGCAAACACAAAAGCCAAAGCCTGTATGCAATACTCTGACTGGGTCTGCAGTGGATGAAGGTCTTCTTAAAGCTACTACAGGAGGTAAGAGCAATGCAAACATTTAACTTACAGTACAATTATGTCTGCCTGCCCCCCCCCCCCCCNCAAGGACTACCTGTATTTGTCAGCTGCACATTTCAACTTTGAGAACTTTTTCAATGCTGGCGAGGGGGGAAAGAAGCTCCTTTGTTGCATTCGCTTCTTCTTACCCAAAGGGTGATCGAAGGCAGCAGGAGAGGCTTCTCCCCCCCCCCCCCAAAAAAAAATTACCGGGTTTAATCTAACAGGGCTTCTCGCTGGGTTTAAGCACCGATGGTCGAGGAAAGGGTTAATTTTGGAAGAGGGAAGCGAGAGGGAGCGAAGGCTGGAAGAGTTCGTCTCAGCGCCCCGCCCCCCCGCGCGCGCGTGTGTGTGTGGAGGTGGCGCGCGGCGGCGGCGGGGAAAGCGGGGGGAGACGGGGAGGGGGGGGGAAGAGCCGGGCAAACCTGGCCTCCCTCTCCTGTTGTTCTCCCCCGACGTCTCAGCCCAGGCTGGGCAGCCTCGGGGCTGGAACGCGAGGAAGGCAAGGCCGCGCGCGCGCTCCGGTCCCAAAAAAAAAAAAGAAAAAAAAAGCGCTCTTCAGCCAAGCTGCTTTGGCAGTAAGACATGCGCATTGCGGAGCGCCCTCTCACCCCGCTCAGTTATGCCAAGTATGTGAGCCCGAGTTGCTGCAGCAGCAGCGGCGGCGGTAAAGAGCGAGAGGCGCCCGAGGACCAGCTAGAGAAGATCATGGCGCGCTCTAGTCAGCTGCGCTCCAAGCTGTTGCGCTCGCCGTTGCTACCGCCGTCGCCTCCGCTTTGCTCAAGGCGCCGCCAAGCAGCGGCACCCCGATTGCGCTCGACAGCAGCCAACTGAAGGAGGCGACCAGGCATGGCTGACCCTCTGCGCAGGACTTTCTCCAGGCTGCGAAGTAGGAGGTCGCAGCGAGTAGCCACAGAAGCCGCTGCCCGCGGGAACCCCAGCGAGAGAGGCGGCAGGGGCGTCGGAGCCCTTGGAGGGAAAACCCAGCAGAACCTGCACCTCCATCACCCCTGCCTGGAAAACGGAGTGGCGACCGAAGCGTGTACCGGGTTGGGAAGCCAGGTGGGCGGTTGTGAAGTGCTCCTCGTGTCCCCGTTGGAAGGGCCGGCCTTGCGGGAGTCGGCTGCCTGGTCCCGGTGGGGAAAGGCGGAGATGCCCGGAGAAAGGTTGCCGGGAGCCGCTGTGGCCCGCGCTTGCCCTCCGAGAAAGCGCGCGGAAGGCAGGGCGCTGCAGCAGCCGAGCCCCCCGGAGCTTCGCGCGCCTCCGCCGGCCGCCGAGCTCTGCTTCTCCTCGTCCTCCTTTTTCCCGAGGGGTTCGGAACCTGCACCGGCCTTGGAGTGCGGTGGCGGGAGCGAAGAAGACGACTATTACGATAACCAGAGGCTGCCTGGCTGGGGCTGCCAAGGAACGACCCGAACGGCCGAAGAAGCAACGCGGGGGAACAAGGAAGGCAACGCGGCCCCCTGTCCGGGTGCTGGCGGAGGCAGCAGGGCCAGAGCGAGAGAAAGCACCGGCAAACTGCGAAGCCAACTCCAGGAGGCCTATTACCTGTTGATCCACGCCATGCACGACCTTCCTCCGGCCAGCCCCACTGCTGGAGGACCCTCACCCCAGCCCGCCAGCCATCTGCCCGCCTCTGAGGATGCTGCAGGGAGTGATGATTTACGCTGGTCTTTCACCTGTGCCGAGGGATGCTCCCCATTGCAAAGATCCGATCCCAGTGCCCAAGGCTCAGCCAAGAATCCCATCTGGCGCCAGGGCATCAGCAAGAGTCTGGAGAGCCTCTGCTTTACCCAGCCTTCCGCTTACAAGCTGCTGCTCCTGCGGAGATGTCGGAGCGAAGGTGCGCTCCAATCTCTGTTTCAAGAGCCACTGGAGCCCCGTGGCCAGCTGCTGCTCAAACCTCAGGAACTTGGCACCAGCCAGGAAACCTGCTTCCTGGCAGCTGCCACACACGGCTCTGGTGACAGCGGCTGTGAGAAGACCCTCAGCAGCCAAGGCCTTGGTGAAGCACATCCCTCGGGACTCCAGGAAGACTTGGGGGAGCTGTTAGCCCCTGAGCTGTATGGAGCCCAGGGCAAAATGTTGGATCCAGTAAGAGCAACCAGGTGTAGTCATGAGGGAAGACCCCAGCAGCCCCCAGAAAATTCCTCTCCGGGCCCCTTCAAGCCACCTGCCATGACTGTTCGGAAGCTGCAGAAGTGGATGTACAAAGGACGCCTGCTCTCCTTGGGCATGAAAGGCCGGGGTGGGACAGCTGGGATGTCCCCCCCATCTTCCCACACCAAAGTCACTGGGAGTTGCAGGCCACTTCTTGGCAGAGGAGAGGGGCTCACACTTTCGCCCCCTGCTCACTTGAATGGTCCAGGGTCCAAGGCCCGAGTATCCCCTTCAGACCAAAGAATCTTGCTGACAGGTAATGATTTCTGTGTGGTCTCCTGTTTTCCTTTCAAGGGTCGTGAGCTTAAGGGCTTTGTCCCACTTTTGCTGTTAAGAGTTTCTCCTCTTTCTTGCTTCTCTGTGATTGTGGAAGATTTAGCTTGTTGAATGTCTGCTAAGCCTAGAAAACCAGCCATTTTGAAAGCTGATACCAAAGCCTCATGTACTATGTGGTCTTTTTCCAATTGGCTTATCTCTTCAGTAGCTTCCAGAGCAAAAAAGGTAGCTTCACTTTTCCAGCCTGGAATACATGATTTATGCAGTGAAGTTGATTGAACCTTGTTTACACAATATTATACAACCCGCCTAATTTTTAACCCAGAAGGCATGCAAACTCCTATGCCAAATAGCAGGCTAAGTTTGCAGGAGAGAAAGAGTCTCTGTCCATGTTTGCAGAGCAGAGCTAGACATTTTCCATTGAGAACGTACCACAGTTGAGTTCCTTTTGGCATAACCTGCTGCGTGATACAGTTTGGTTAAATGTTAATAGTTGTGTAAATTGTTTCTGTTCAATGTGGACAGTTTAAATGTGTTTTTCTTTGGCTGCATTATTATAGTTTGAAGCATATGGTGTCATGTTTTCGGAACTCCTGTTGATAAGAGTGCAAGTGAGAATGAGAAATAAGCACATTTGACAATCCTTATGTAGCTAGTATCATAACCTGTGAAAAATTGCCACTACAACAATTTATACTCTAACATGTCACATATAGAAGTTGCTATTGTTTTAGGAATTTGGATACCCGGTGAAGAGAATTAGGGTTTCCACATGATATTTGCTACACACCTACTTCTTATTTCTCTCAATTGATATGCGTTCACGAATGATGTCTCCATATGTGATCTTCGACATTCCCTAATTAGATCACCTCTAGATTGAGCATATTGTAACACTCCTAACTCTGAGCTGCCATTCAACACACTTTGGACAGCAGATTAAAAAAATGGGCAGTGCTAATAAAATTGGACTACAACTTACATCATTCCTTGGGTGGGAAGCTGGGGGTAATGAGCATTATAGTCCAAAACAGTTAGACTATCTGATACACAGTTAGGCAAGTGGTTTCAGAAGTTGAAATAAAGGCTGTGTTAATGTTTGATTTTCAGATTCAGTTCAAAAAGATGATTTGAATAAACTGGCCTGATTTAAATTGATATTGGTTATTTTGGATATTTTGCATACCTACATAAGAACCTTTTCAAAACTGAACTGACTATTTTATTTTCATGGACTCCTGGAAATATCAGTGATATATACATAAATACTTTTCTCATCTCTTTTTCAAAATCCTTGCTTCAAGCAGCAGCAGAAATTGAAAAAAAACATGGGTCTGGTGAAGCCCCGTGACTTCATTTTATTCTGTCTATTCTGAGGGGTGAAATATTCTAGGAAGAGCTGCCAACTCAGCATGGCCATTTCTAGAAAATGGCTTCCTTTGTATATTAATTGTGTGTGGCTAAAGTGAGTTAATAACTCACTTATTCAAGTACCCATATGTGAAGCAATCTTTCTAATTCTCATTCCATTTATTTCTTTTAACCCAGCATTGCAATAGTTCAGCCTAAGCCTGAATCTCACTAAATGTATATAGGGTCAGGGAAGAAGATGGGACAAAGTAGAATGAACTATCTTTTAATGGCAAAANGCTTCACAGTGCTTTACAGCCCTCTCTAAGCGATTTACAGAGTCAGCATATAGCTCCAAATAATCTGGGTCTTCATTTTATCCATTTTGGAATGATGGAAGCTGAGTCAACCTTGAGCCAGTGACAATCAAACTGCTGGCTGCAGGCAGGCAGCAAAATTAATCTACAGTACTGCATTCTAACCACTGCGCCACCATGGTGTTTTTGAAGACTCATTGCTGGCACAATGATCAGGTTGTTAGTTGAACGAATGTCAAGATGTTTTTTTTCCCCTGAATGCGGATAACTGATATTATCTGCTCAGATAAAACATATGGAAATAAGCAATATAGCTGCTTGATTGGTGATTCAAAATGGAGTTATTAGTAATCAGGTCCTCAAAGAAGGTTTTTCTCTGTAAAGGTATCTCCTGGATGACTGGGTGTATATTGTCAAAGAACTAGCATACAGCTAAGCATTTCAGCCTCTTCTGTAACTACAGGGTATCATGCCAAGTTCTTTAGCTTTTCAAAAATTTAATTAAACCTTGTGGAGGGAGCTCTGTTCCTGTGAAGGAGTAAAGCCAAACATCAAGCCACTGATTAATGTGGAAAACTTGATAACGATGCTTGTGACCAACTTTCAATTTATTTATAAATTGAAAAATCATGGCCCTTATTTATTCAGAAAATGTAATAATACTGGCACTTAAGGTTTAACACATGAACCCTTTGTTTCAAAGAAAAAAATCTTAAATCGGAAGAGCTTTTGTTGATGTACATGTTTTCTCATCTTTTTAAAACAAGAAACCAGAATTGTTAGACAAGATATACTACTTCCAGGGAGTTATTTGAACCTGAGTGAAAATTTACTCCTATGATTATCTGAGTAAGTGACAGGTTGCATTTGTTGACTTCTGCCTTGTTATGTGCTGGAGTTAGCTTTTTATATCACAACAATCTCCCTTTGCTTCTAAAGGAAAATCGGGATTAAATGTAATGAATATATCAATAATATAACCCCTGGCAGATACAATTAGAAATTACAGAGCCACCGCAGTTCAGGATGGTCTTTGAAGAAAGATATCACATAAATAGCATAGCACTTAGACTTATATACCACTTCACAGTGCTTCACAGCCCTCTCTCAGCGGTTTACGGAGTCAGCATATTGCCCCCAACAATCTGAGTTCTCATTTTCCAACCTTGGAAGGATGGAAGGCTGAGTCAACCTTGAGCCTAGTGAGACTCGAACTGCCTCACAAGATAATATGCCAACCCAAGTAGGAGAGAGATGCTTGGTGTGTAGTGAATGGTTTTCATCTGTAACCTAAGAGGCGGAATATACAGGTAGTCCTCGACTTATGACCACAATAGGGACCAGATAATTTGTCACACCCGATTTTATGACTTTTTCTGCCATGATCATTTAGCAAAACATCATATGATCCCGACCTTCCCTGCTGGTTTTCCCCATTGACTTTGCTTGTCAGAAGCTACCTGGGAAGCTTACAGAGGGAGATCACATGACCACAGGTTGCGGCCACCATTGTATATGTGCTACAGTTGCCAAGAACTAGAGATAAAATCACATCACTGCAGGGATGCTGCAATGACAGAAAGTTGTCGAGGATGGTCCTAAGTCAATTATTTCAGCACTGTTGTAAACAATCGTTAAGAAACAGTCATAAATTGACTACTCCTTGTATAAGTTTAAGTCTTGAAAGTGCATTTTTCTTTTGCTACCTGTTCCACCCACTACAATGGCACTGAATCCTCACACTTTTTTTTCCTCTGGTCCTACAAGATCTTTACTTTTCACGTTATCTTCCTTCTACATTCTGTACAACAAGCTTTGCCTGTACATTCATCAGTTTTTGCATCTTCTGACAAGACGATAGGGAGAATACAACTCCTTCCATTCAGTACTGTTGAAACAATTCAAAGGTCCCTCAGCTTCTTTTGGACCTAATTTCCATTAGTCTCTGCTGCCATGTTCTCTCCATTCCTTATCAAGTCTGGTTCCACCACAAAACCGCGTTCAACTAAAGGGCGCTCGACGAAACCGCGTAGCTGACATCATCACAGCGCGACAACAGCGCGGAGAAAAAAGCACGCTGTAAACGCTAAACCTAAAATTAACCCCTAAACCTAAACCTAACCCCCCCTAAACCTAATCCTAAACCTAACCCTAAACCTAACCCTTAACCTAACCCTAACCCTTAACCTAACCCTAAACCTAACCCTAAACCTAACCCTAACCCTTAACCTAACCCTAAACCTAACCCTAAACCTAACCCTAACCCTAACCCTTACCTTAACTTGAATCGGCTTGCTTTCAAAGCGCTATTTAAAGCACCCTTCTTTCTCCGCGCTCGCTGTTGTCGTCCTGTTGATGACGTCAGCGACGCGGTTTAATCGGGCGTGCTTTAGTCGAGCGCGGTTTTGTCGTGCCACGATCAAGTCTTACTGACAAAGTTAGTAAAGATGGTAGGAATGATGTCCCTTCTGTGTTCCATTACGCAACCCGAATATTGTGATAAGTAAAATAAGCAAAAATAACAATAGAATCAATAACGATAATAATAGTAGAACCAAAAATCGTAACAGTAGAACCAAAAATAATAATAGTAGAACCATTACTGCAGAGAGATGCTTGGAAGAGAAACTTTTACAGTTGAATTCTGTAGCAGTTGTTGGTGAATAAAACATTTGTACTGTTTACCATAGGAAGGCGATAACCAGAGGAGACTTAGTTTCTAGAGCTGTAAAACCATGAGTTCAGGTAACAAAAAGTGCCAAATGTGTGTTTGTTCTGCCTGCTTTTTCTTACATAGTTGACTGTAGATCGCCTTTGGAAGCTCTTCTTCGAACTGTACTGTGATTTTGGACTGTGATTAACTTGCAAAATCAACTTGCAGAGTTAATCAGGTTAAAGTTTTAATAGATTCCTTCAGCGCCAGTAGACAAAAGGCATGGTAGTTTTAAGACGAAATGTCCACTAGTTGGCTTTTTCTTTTCAATATAACTTGATTGGCTGGTACCAAAATCAGTACAATAGAATTATTGGCTGTTCAGTGTGCATGCATAAATGCATGTTTCCAAGTCATAGACCGGTGGAAAAAAAATAAAATGTCATATTGCTGCTTTCTTTTAAGGCGTACTGTTAAGCTAAAATGAGTTCCAATTATGCTTTATCATAGTGCAACATCCATCAACTGAAGAGTCAGCCTTGCTGGAGCAGCAGTCCTCTGTGAACTATCTGAGGCCTAAGAAGCAGCGGCCTCAAATGTTAAATTTAAGCGAAGTCTCTGGGATCTTGCGATCCAGGCCAGCCAGACTGGACAGCCCTTCAAGCAACCGCTATGCAGGAGACTGGACTGCTTGTGGAGAGAACTACTTTGTCGGTCCCAAAGAAGCTCTGAGCGAAGCAGACTATGATGACGTCCCTTCAGAAGAGGCGGAAAGTGGGGACGATGGCAGCCAAGCGGATTCTTCCAGAACGCTGCTTCGGCGGCCCATTTGTGTGTCCAAAGAACGCACCTTTCAGGCCTATCTAACAATGCAAACCATGGATTCTGCAGTGAACCATCAAGTAAACCTTAAAAACTTGCAAGAAAGCATTGATACCCTGATAGGAAACCTGGAACGGGAACTCAATAAAAACAAGCTCAATATGAGTTGTTGATCACTTTGCTTTGCCATGTCTCCAGTTTTGTGTCCCTTCTGTTGTATTCCACCAGGAGAGTATAAGGAAAAGGATTGTGTTTTGGATTGGGGGGGGGGGTGTTGATCTGTATTATAATTGCATTGGGCAATGTTGGAGATCACTGCGCTCGGTCTTTCTCCACCATTTGAAAACTTGTTCCTTTTTATAAAACAATTCTGCAATATTCCTTGTCAAGGTACTATGCACTTAGGAAATTTGAACAGTTTATCAAAGATATATAATGCCTCATTTCTATCTTTGTTATACTGGAACAGTACACTTTGTTCCTGAAACCTTAGCCCTGGTACAGATGTTCTCTCAGAAGAGAGAAGATTAATGTTGCTACTTTAAGTGATAACACGCGGCACAAACTGTACCTAGGTCACGTTCTATTATTTTGACACATTTTCACTTGCAATGCAAAGGCTGCTATGGGGGGGGGAAGCTTTTTGATAGTTCAGTTGTATGAATATTGATGTATTCCTATAGTAACACTTTCAAGCAACTATTTAAAACTTGCAAAAAATATTTTTCTAACTTTTGTCTTGTAGATATTTATATGTGAAAAAGGTACGCTTCATTGCGCAGGATAAGAGTTTCTTCTCTCTCCTCCAACCTGGTGCTCTGAACTTAACGTTAAACTACGGTTCTTTAATCTCCCAGCATAATGGTGATGATGGTGGTGTGTGTGTGAGAGAGAGAGAGAGAGAGGCAGGCAGGCAGGCAGACACCAAAATGTGGGGGTAGATTAGCATAGGAAATATCATTTCTTCATAGAGAGCAAGACCTGCCACTGCATTAGGTGATTGTGTAAAATGAGGTGATTGTGCACTACTTCTACAGTTTGCTCACCCTTTCTCCCCTGCTGATGCGGGAGGTTAGTATTTTTTATGCCCTACTGGAGATGTTATACATGACAGCACTGTAGAAATGAATAGGTGTAGCTCAGGGTTGAATTGGGGAGTCCTTGGTGCTTCCTTGGCTGTTTGTTTGCAAATGTTCATCCAGCTAAGAAGCATCAGCATTTTAATGGGTAATGAAACATCTGCAAGCAAACAGCCGTGCTCAGATAGCACCAAGGGCTCCACAGGACAGTCCTGTGTCCATCTGTCCCACTCTAGATCGGACTAAAGAGAGCTGAAGAGAGACTTGCCCGTTGTGTTGTCAACAATCACACATAAGCAGTTGTGGGATATCCTGGACAAGAAAGTAGTTGGACACTGAGATATTTGAAGGTTGGAACTAAAAGCATACAAATTAAGGTATCCATGATAACAAATTGTCTAGACACAATGGCCTGTTTGTCACACCTTGCTGAAATTCTGTTTGTGAAACTAAAAACATGTTTCTAGAGATGCTTTGAGACTTGATTGCTTGATAGAGACCCTAGCAGCTACCAAATCAAAACATTTATTGTGGTCCTAAGTCTCTCTTTGCAAGGATTCCTGTTTGTGCCCCGTAAAGAATTTGTGCCAATGTTTTGGCCTCAAAAAGTTTTAAGGCAGCAGGTACTAACTGACCTCCACCTGTATAAAAGAAATGTTTGATTGCATTTGAGGACCTAATGGCTACTTGCAATGTGTGATCCAGGTGTGCCTTCCATGTCCCTAGCGAGTGGAAAACCACACCAAAGTATCTAAATGTTCTAACCTGTTCCAAACTGTATCCTTTCAATTTCCATGAGTATTGGCTTGGTCTTTTAGCAAAAACTAAAATTTTTGATTTATCGAAGTTAAGGACCAGCTTGTTTTGCCTGCAATAGCCGAGTGTTGCCCTAATTGCTCTCTTCAGACCTATGGGGGTTTGTGAAATGATAGCAGCGTCATCAGCATTTAAGAGAATTGGCACTTTGCGTTGTGCTAGGTTAGGAGGATGGAAATCAGGGTTCTGTAAAAGATGAATCAGGGGATTAATATAGAAGTTGAAGAGGGAGGGGATTATTGTGGTCCAACAGTTATTCTACCAAATTGTCCACAAATATGCACATTTTAAAAAAATGTAATGACTTTAAATGCAGATCTTTAACCAGATCAGCCTAATGTTAGCACTGTGCATAAGCAATAATAAATGCAGTCCAGGGTCGATTGTGTTAAAGCATCTCCAAACGGAGTGAACCATGCTTAGGCATTATATCAGTCGCATTGGATTGGAAATATAGAAGCGTAACTTTGTACGCCATTACAGGTAGTGCTTGACTTATGACCACAATTGGGAATGGAATTTTGGTTGCTGTCGTTCAGCAAGTCGTCACATGACCACATTAGTCATTTTACTATGGTGGTTATAACAAATCACTGTGGTCATTAAGTGAATCCTGGGTTGTTAAGTCAATCACATAGCCATAAACGCAAGCCAGTTGCCAATTGGCTAAATGGTGATCATATAATGGGGTAGGAAGGCTAGTGTGATGGTTGCAATTGCGAGGATGGATCATAAGTCATTCTTTCCAAGGCCTTTGTAATTTTGAGCCATCATTAAATTAATGGTCATAAGTTGAGTGCCTTATGTGTATTTTGTTCAGTTTTTTTCTCAAATAGGGAATTTTCCCTTCTCCTATGCTAATGGGAAGCTCCTCGTTTTTCATAGTTGTGCTGCTTCTTTATTTTGTGATAAAGAACCACTTATTATATACTTTAAACCTGTTCCCCCTAATCCATTTCTACACCTTTATCAATTCTAGGGAGACCCCCAAAGAGTTTGCCTCTTTTTCAAAGGTTAATATGGATGAAGAAAGTGCCTGTTAAAGTAAATGTGTTTCAAATGGCCTGAAACATTTTGAAGGTCTTCATTCCAATTGGTCTAGCTTCTTTAATCCCAAGAATGTCCTTAAGTGCTAAGACGATCAATGTATTGTTTATCTTGCCAGGTTTCTTACATGAATATTGGCAGCTTTTCCAGTTTGTTGTGGGAAGGGTAAATTTAATAAATCCTGACTGGATTGGTCTGCAGAGTTTTGATATTCACTGTGAACCAAAGTAAATATAAGCCTGATGAAAATTTAAGTTCTGTCTGCAGTCAGGCAATAAGGCCTAAGCAGCAATAAATTATAACCAGGTGCCTCTTAAAAAAAGAGAGAGCAATGGAGTAGAGTACCTCTTAAATGGCATTCCTTTAAAAATGCAAGTTAGCAAACAGGGGAAGCCATTATCTTTTAAAGAGTGTTATGAACACTATTTGCTTTGCATTAACTTTCATCAACTGATGTCTTCAGTTGTTTGGGAATCACAACTTTCTCAATTCATCTAGGAATTCTGGGAATTACAGTCTTAAAATAGCTGGAGGGTAAGGAAAGGGTACCCTATATCATAGGTCTGGTTTCCTCCCTGTTTCTTTATATTATCAGTTCTCTCTCTCTCTTTTTGATCTGGTACAAGTGCTATTTAATTTGTTCCTTGATATTGACTATTATAATTATTTTAGCTATTTATTGACAATAGGATGACTGAATTTGGTATATGATTTTTGCCACATTTACCTTAAAGAAATATTTCAGCATTTTATACAGTCTGGTTAATTTATTATGATGAGGATTATTAGAGTGGCGGTACACAACTACAGTCATTTCAATATAGTGATACAGTTTAAAAACATATATTTTAACCTGAAGCATTTATTGATAAGCTGACATATTTTTTAAAGCATATGTACAGGAAGTGAATTATTTTTGAACTATGTTAATTCTGAATAAAACCCAAAATTGAAAATAATTTAAGTATTTTGTATTTTTGTAAAATGTTATTATTTTTAAGAATACATTTTAACTTGTGGGAAAAGAATTTCCAGGATTGTTAGTCTGTTTGCTATGAAATGGGAAGAACACAGACTTAATCTAATGTATCAGCTAGGGTGATGATATGAAGGCATTTCACAGTTGATAAGAGCAGATGGCCCTTTTATCAGGTCAAAGTCCATCTTGTCCAGAATCCTGTGAAGAAGAATGAATGGAGTGGAATGGAATAGAATCACCATAGGTGATATTCAGCCGGTTTGGACTGGTTAGCCCGAACCAGTAGTAGAAATTGTGGGTGGGATGTCCTATTTAGGCATGTTTTCAAGCTGTGTGCATGCGTTCCAGCCATGTGTGAGATCAAAACGTGTGTGTGGAAGGCCGAGCACATGCGTGGACGTGCGCACTCACATTTATGAACCAGTCGGGAAAGTAAGTAGTACCCCTGGGAATCACTACTTCCACTCAAGAGTAGATGTCATTTTGCATACTCCACTTGTTGCAGTCCTTGGTGTTAAATCAGTGTACCTGATGGCCTGAACAACATTGGCAAGTCTACTTTAAATTATTCCACTATTACTTAACATTTTTTAAACAGAATGCTCTTGATTACATTTTGACCTCTAATGTTAGAAACCAGGATGTAATAGCTGGTTTCTTTTTTATATTCAGTGATCTGTAACTTTTTAAAAGATGCCCTGGATAATAGTCACTAACAAACATATGAAAGGGATGCGGTGGCTCCGTGGCTAAGATGCTGAGCTTGTCGATCCAAAAGGTTGGCAGTTCAGCGGTTCGAATAACTAGTGCCGTGAAATGGAGTGAGCTCCCATTACTTGTCCCCGCTTCTGCCAACCTAGCAG